AGTGGATTGAACAGATACAGGTTTTTGTTGAGATGGTAGGAATTTCTTTTTATGAAAAGTGGTTTTATGTTATAAAGTGTAATAATCGGAAAGAGCGGCTGCTTCCTGTAGTGTTTCAACTTTCTTTTCATCCAAGTAAGTTTTGAGGTCGTCACGTGCACAGCGTTTAAATTCCTCATTATACATAATTGTCTTAGTTTGTCGAAACTGTTGCCAATATGCATATAATTGCACCATCGACCAAAATAAACCTCTTTTTCGTGGGCAAATTCCATATAAGTTTGATTATCTTGTTTGCGATAACCTCTTAACTTTTGGCGATAAGTCTTCGGTACTAAACTCGTATGCTTTGAGAATAGCTGCTTTAACTTTATCATAATTCGTACAATCTTCTGGAGAGAGAGAGTGGCATAAGTTTGTAATAATAATGACCATTTTTCGGTGGGCCATTCCATCATTTGAGCAACTTTCTCAAAATGTTGGAAATATTTATCAACTTCATTTTCATTGAATAGTAGTATTTTAACATATCGATTAAATTGAAAGTTGTCATTTTGCTTTGGTCGATCAGAGTTGAGTCTAATTTCCATTTCTTTCGGCTTCAATGTGAGCGTGTTCTTTCTCGGCTTCGACACGAACTTGTTCAAACTCGATTTGTTTGAGTTTTAGCTGAATTTCTAATTTATCTTTGTCACTCATCTTCGATTGGCCAGTGGGGACACTATAATATTCCTCTAATATTTCCTCAAGCAACAAATCATCATCTACTAGAATTTCAATAATACGCTTTACAGTTCGTTTTCTCTCATTGATTTTTTAACTTCTAATTTTAAACCTATGGCAGTTTGTAGCAATTCGTTTTTGTTATATCTTTCTAGTTGTTCGAGGGAGGGTGATTCAAGAAAATCTTGATAATGAGACATGATCAAATCTTGTTGTCACTGATAAATATAAATTGAATTATGATTTGAATTTAGATTGAATTTTGTCTTTGATTCAGATCCCGGACGAGCCTCCAATTTATTACTTAACATATTATAATTTTGAATAGCCTAAGACTGATTTAAATGATAATATAGCTTTAGAGCTTAATATCGAATGTATCCAATTTATGATACTTTCCAACAAGACTGATACACACAGTTTATTTGTTTTTAATACAAATATATTTTAATATGCAAACAATAACACAGTTTATAATAATGGTTATTACAAATAATGATCTATGTACAGAAGTTTTACAAACATACAAACAATATTCAGTGATCTATCTGGTCTGGAACTTCCTTGATATCTTATCGAGGGTTCACGATGAGCGAATTAATTTTGAGTAGATGTAGATACAATTCACTTAACAGGGAGCTAGCTCTGAGTTCTTCGTTCTTTGCCGCAACATGTCGTGTTATTCACCGCTAAAGTTATATAATGTTTTCGTAAAAAATGCTAATGTCTGATGTGAATCCGCTGAAGTTAAATGGTTTATTATATTCGAAATTTATAAATGTTCCTGGGCAAATATCTTAATATTAATTTCCCGATTAGTAAGCGTTATAACAATCACAATTATAATTTCCGAAGTTTATAGCACAACAACTATAGCAAACCAATAATATATACTGTCATTTGGCGCATCACGTTGGTTATATTTATAGGCGTGGGGAGAGTTTCTCGAAATTTCAGCTTACGCAACAATATAAACGATACACCCGTGTTTACGTACATAAATATATATTGTTAATTCTTACACTCGAGAATTTTCTACAGTTTTAGTGAATAGGCGGTAATTTCGCAATACAGATTTAACTGTACACGTTATGTACATTTCTACATATAAATTTAACTTAAACAAACATCGATATTTTAAAATAGATATATAATAGCAAATCCGTCACACAGAAGTAGTTCATATAAACACAGTATATTACGGAAAACTTCACGTAAACACTGTTTTGGTTGAAGGCGTTCCTCAACACACATGACTCCAATGCATAACGATATTGAAGTAATTAAAGAGTGTGAAAAATAAAATGAAGATAGCAATTTCTGAAAATGGAGCTAGCTTTAACTATAACAGTTGATGCAGAACTTATAATCAGTTGTTGTTCGTCCTAATTTCCTTCAGATTTCTACATTCAATATATTCTCAGAATTTTAACCAGTTACTAACTTAAAATACATGATAGTTTTTCGTGTACATCCAATTTAATCTGATAGAATCCAGTACTGTTTAATGAGTATCTACCATGCTAGTTTTGTTTTATTTGCATTTTCAGCAAATCAGAATTTCTATCTAGTTTCAATTTTCAAATGCTCTTGTTTTTAAAATCTTACGGCTTCGTCTCGTTTACTCGTGTTTTAGCTGCCAACTAGTAATTGTGCCTACAATACTACTTTATTAAGCATGCTTTCCAAACACTGTTGCCTCTACAAATGCGTTTTAGATTATTTTATGATCCGTTTCAATGACATATTCCTGCTGCGGTTTAAATCATTTTTATTTCATTTTTATACGCCTCCAAGGCTGTTCCTACATGTATCAGATTACAATCTGTCATCTTGCAAGTGATTGGAAGAAAATCCAGAATTACCCTTGACGAAATTGTGTTAAAAAATTATTAATTTTTCGTTGTATTATTTAACGATGGTATATTAGAAAATATTTATTGTCTTTCGTTGTATTATTTAACAATGGTATGTTATAGAATATTTACTGTCTTGATAATGACTTATACCTGTTATTTACAGTTTATTCAATGTCGTAAATTAAGAAATGGAATAGTATCCTAGTCGGCAAAAACAAATTTTTCATTACTTGTTTGTTTCAGAATATTCATGCAAAGCTACACAATTAGTTGTCTACGTACAGTTGTCCTTAATTGTGAGCTGATGGACTAGAGAAAAGACAGCTAGTCAACAACACCCACCGCCAACTCTTGAGCAACTCTTATTTGATCTTATCTAATCGGCCCCTTTCCCGTTGCAGTTATAAGCTTTATTTTTCCGTTATCAGCACCGCTAATTGAATCACTTATGTTCTTAAACAATGTGAAGAAATTGAATTGACTATTAATTATTAAAACTACTTGATTCTTCGCCTCTAAAAATAACCTCTTAATTTGCATCTTTATCAAGTAATGCTTGCTAAAAAAACTCCAGATAGTTGTATGAAAGTTCAAGATTAACAAACGTTTGAGTCTCTGACTGAATTTACTTGCAAATTTTGGCCTTTATGTATAGTTTCATACTATGTTCAAAATTCATCTTATTTTCACAACTCTGTGTCGTACTTTGATCTTCCGAAGGACTGTATAATTCATTAAGAATGACATATGAACAAGTGCAACTGGTAATTTTGTAGTTAAATTGGTTTACCGATTATATTCTTTATATTCAAGAATCACTAAAAATGAAAGCCGCTTAACAAAAATCATATAGAATACATGTGTTGTTGAATTGAAATTGCTTCTCCAAGACTTCCACGTTGGTCATTCACTGGCGGATTCATAGAAGAGGATAGTCTGGTGGCCTCCAAACAAAAGTACCTTTAAATCTAACAAAAAAAAAGTGATTCTTTAAGTAAAATTCATGACCTGGTGGTAGAGGAGCCATCCTCCTTACTAAAAATCCTTCCAACACTCTATTTTCCGATGGCCTATCGAACGAAGGCACCCTTATACAAAATATAGAAAGGGAAAGGTTTCGCGACCTTCTGGAAGAGTTCCCCTTACAAAATATTTTGCATCCACCCCCTGAGATGTATTTATATATTGTGATAAAGCTTGTAAATGTTTGGTCATCGCACCAACAAATGGGTTAAAAATTGTTTAGTACAAACTGTACAAGTAAACTTCTGAATGTATATATAACTTTACTCACAAACTAAAGACGTTAAGATGGTTTAGTTTTCGGTGTTTGCTCCCGTTTTAGTGGGCTTTTTAAACTCTTATTTCACATGCATTTTTAAGCACAATGGACTATTTGTTTTGTGCCCGCTGCAAATATCGAAACCCGATTTTTAGCGTCATAAGCTACCAGACGTATTCCTGAGCTACCGAGGGACTTCCACACAAATCACAGTTTCCAATATTGCAGGCATTTAAGTTGACTTTCTTCTGTACTATCACTCATTAAAACTAACTAAAAACTACTGTCACTTGGTGAACTTACGAATGCAATTATAAAATTTTCTGTCTTCATGACGTGTTACGTGTTTATTGGATTTACTTACACATTTAAAACTACCAGAAAAAATGTATAATTTTTGGTTCCAACTAGAATACGGTGTGAATATTTAAAGTCTATTTTTAGTTGATAATATTTTTATACCAACATCTACAACATTTAACGTGAACTGGGGAATTATAAACCAAAGGGCTCTACAAGCCAATATAATAAATAGTTTCCTTAAATAACATGTTTTCAATAACTATTTGAGTGTGCATTAAAGTAACGTTGCACATATCAACCGAGACATTTTTCTGGACCTAATAACCTATGAATTTAAACCTGATTGATTTACCTTGTCAGACAAAGAACTATCCCTGGAACTAATCCCAATGACAGGAATATTATAGAAACCACAGGTGTATGACACAGCTGCTGGAGAGAGTTCTCCTGAATTCGGGTGACTGATAATAACAGCATGTACCTACAAAATATAAACAGTATGACATTTTAAGATATATATATATATATATATAAATTACAAATCAAATTATAGAACATATATAAATTTAAACAAAGAAAGTGAAAGATAAATAACACTATGTACTTCGTGGATGCACTGTCAATGCGTCATGGCAGCTCGATGATTTTTTGTTTTTGTTTTTCATTTCAATATTTATAATATATATATATTGGTGTACTTTGGTGACAGATTTTCTTGTAGGCAGATTTTGTTGAATAAGACCGATGTCTGTATGCCTACAGAAATCAGTCTTATTCAACTAAATCTGCATATATATATATATTTGAACCATTTAAATTTAGGTCTAGAGAAAAACTAGACAAATTTCAGTCTGAATTCAAGATTGATCAGATGTAGAATAACAGAGTGAATAGACTTCATCCTCTATTCGTTCATTTGAAATGTTCCGTTAAGTATATGGCGGTCTTCATAATTTAATCGTTTCAACATTACATTAGTTTTTCTTCTCCAATAGCCCTCCAGTGGTACAGCGGTATGTCTGCGGACTTACAAAGCTAGAAACCGGGTTTCGATACCCATGGTTGGCAGAGCACAGATAGCCCATTGTGTAGCTTTGTGCTTAATTACAAACAAACTTCTCCAATATTTCATTACCATTATCCTTTACGGGTTATTATCAGTTTTATTGCAATATCCCAAGCGAAACTTTTTATCTTCACATCTAAATAACGCAAATGAGAAACTCTGTAAAGATGTAGCAAAACGACGAGCTCTTTTAAGCATACTATTGTAATTGAAAAAATTAAAATATTATTTGATAAAAGTTTGTTTCTTTGTTTGTAATTAAGCACAAAGCTACACAATGGGCTATTGGTGCTCTGCCCACCACGGGTATCGAAACCCGGATTCTAGCATTGTAAGTCCGCAGACATACCACTGTGCCACGGGGGGGGGGGCTAGATAAAAGACATTACATCATAGTAAGATTGATAATACTTTCTAAAACATCATTCTTTAAAGGCCCTCTGTGGGTTGCAGGTGAGAATAATATATAATAGTACTTTTACTAATACTTTCTATGTTGTAAACAACATAGTGAGTTACTGTATAGTATTGAGTGAAAGTACTCGTAGCAACAGAAGAGTTTGAATGTATGTTTCAGGATTTTCACGTAAAATTACACAAAGATCTTTCTACGCATACTTTTCCTTAATATTGAAATGACAGACTAAAAGGAAGGCATCTACTCAACAGCATCCACCGCCAACTCTTGTGCTACTCCTTTAGGATCTGATCGTTACTGTTATAGTTCCCTGACGATCCCAAAGTACGGAGCACATTTTTGCCGCAAGAGGACGCGAACTATAAACTCTCGGAGTGTAGATGACAAGCTGTTACTACATTTATTTTTTCTTGGTGGAAATCCGTGTAGGACCAGTAAAGAATGATGTAATAAAAAATAGTATCAGCTTTATTGTGTCATTAAAACTAATGTTTTCATAAAAGTATATATTCATTATTCCAGTGAATTAGTTATTTTTAGTCGAGATCTTTACACGAAGAAACAATTCAAGTCTTTTGGGTCAATTTCATTTTTACTTCGTTGTATATGATATGTTTTGTAAGATCTATGTTACCTTAATATATGTAAAGACTAAAATGTATTTAGAGCCCTTTATATAATTAGTTGTATTTCAATTCGAAGCAGATGAAGAACGAATTGTAGTGTTCGATTTTACTAAATTATCAGAAATTAAAAAACGATCTCTGACTTAACCAGAGCGCGTTTGCTAAATCTCTCTAAGCCAGTTAAGTCCGAGATTCTTAAGAAATACATCTTATTTTATGACGAATCTTGAAGATAAAAAACACGTACGAAGGTTAGTGAGAGAAATATTTGTTTGAAATTTGGCTTCTTGTCATTGCTTTTCTTCAGTAACACTTATACCAGTCGTTCAGAACTAAACAAATGTAAAAAGTGTCATTTTTGAAGCTGACCTGCAAGTGCAAGTTCGCAAAATTCTCGGAATGCTACCAGTTCAGTGGGTGTAAATGTGATCGCGACGGAATATCCGTGGCCGAAAAAGTAAACGGTAAAATATATCAAAGAAGGTTTATCGCTAAAAAAAGATGATGATGCAAATAAACATTCGAAGCGAAGAACAACATCCGCTTACCGATAGGTTGTTTTCAAGGTGGTTCCAGAAGAAATTTGGTTTGGTTTGGAACTTTGCCAAAGCTACACGAGGTTTAGTTGCGCTAGCCGTCCCTAATTTAACAGTCAAAGACTAGAAGGAAGGTAGCTAGTCATCTCCACCTACCGCCAACTCTTGGGCTACTCTTTTAACAACGAATAGTGGGACTGACCATCACATTATAACACCCTCACGGCTGAAAGGGCAAGCATGTTTGATGAGACGGGGATTCGAACCCGCAGACCGCGAGTTGAGTGCTCTAACCTCCTGGCCATGCTCCAGAAGAGAACTCTAAATCACGAAATGAGGAGTGAGGACAATGGTGGAGGGTCGGTAAACAACGCTGGCGAAACGCTTACCTCATTTGGATGGCTTGAAAAATGATCATACTGCTCGAATTTGGTACTGTATAACTTTTCACCCATACAATCTTCAACTTTTCCATCTGCAGCAAAATGCTCGGCAGATGGCGCTTTATCCATCCCTGTAATTTACTTATGTTTTTCCGGATTTGGCTGGAACCCTACTGTGATGGAGTTATTAGTCTATATTTATTTTAATATCGATGTTTGTTTAAATTTGATTTATATTTAGAAATGTGCATACATTATACATTATATGTACTGCGAAACTCCCGCCTATTCTCTAAAGTTGTAGAAGATTCTCGGGTGTAAGAATCAACAGTATATGTGTGTACGTAAACGCCAGTGTAGCTCTGTATTGTTACGTAATCTGAATTTTCGAGAAACTCTCCACACGCCTATAAATATAACCAACGAGGCGCACCTAAAAAGAGTATCTATTATT